CAGTCTCTAGTACATATGTACTCACTTTATCTTTAGCATATTCTTATAATAATTCACTGACAATACCGTGAATTAATGCTAAAGATATTAATTACAATGGGCTCGAATTAATATATTTGATTTTACTTCTTTTATATTTATAAATTGAGTTATTCATATTTAGGTTCATGTTAAGTCAGTCATATTAACATGTTATAACCTTTCATGTGTCACACATCACATAACTCAATCATTTAAGCAAATAATTATCTTATTATTTAAGCTTTGGATACAATCACTACAGAGTGAGCACTCACTTCTCAAGTATTATTACACACTCTTCTCATATCTCACTACTAAATTATGATGAGCACCTACTTTTCAGTTATTACCGCTAGCTTGAAGTTAAGTTTGTTTAGCTAGCAATTCTAGTAGCTCATACCTTTAGTACACACTTATCTAAGTGGTCTATCTTGGTAGTAGAGTAATTTGTTTTGAAGAATATTCTTCAAAAACTACTACTTTACAAGTAATATTATTCTCTCCTACATGAGCAACTATGATGAATAGCTCAAATAGCTTATGGCTAAAATAGCTACTCGTCACCCTCGTGTTCTTTTTTTTTTTTTTTTCACTACCAAGTTGAGAGCTAGAACCAACTAACAGATTTTCCATCTTCCTCTTAGGTTCTGTGCACCTCATTAATCATTTTAACTTATAGCTAATCTAACTAGTTTACAACTTAGTAACATTTTAGCTTTCAGCTAAATTGTACATTATAGCTAACTAGCTTGATTTAGCTTGTCTCAGTGTACTTGCTTACTGTATCCATAACATTTTCCATTAAACACTTTAAAGTTGTTGAAAAATCTTATCTTATTCAGCCCATTCACAGCTATACGTGTCTTTAAACACTAGTATAGATCTTTTTCCCTTGACTATCAAAAGAATTGACATAGCTAGACTAGTCAATTTTTGTCTGTTGTATTAAATACACAAACCAGTCATGAACTCATACAAAATTAATAATATCAAACATTAAATCAACTATATTGTAAAATTAAATTACTATGCACATTAAGTAATTCTACTACATAGTTTAATATTATAATCTCAATTAAAAGTAAGCACTTATATAAATAATATTGAACTCAGATAAATAATATTATACCATATGATTAATTATATCACATAACTAATCTAAGAAAAAAGATTTGTGGCTCATTCTCCAATAAACATGCTAGAAAATTAGGACCAAAAGATGTAGACGTTCTAGCCTACAAGAAAATGATATGTACTGATGTTATAACCTACCAAAGGTTTTATGTAACGATCCACTCCACTATATAGTATGATATTGTCCACTTTGGGATCAAGCCCGCACGATTTTGTTATTGGGTTTTATCTCAAAAAGCCTCGTACCAATTGGAGATAACACCACTACATAAAATCACTTTACCTTTCCCTTACGTAGGTGGTGTGGGACTGTGCACCTGTAACTTGCTCAATGTGATAACATGTCAGTGCCTCTTGCACCTACCCACGGCACACCCACCCACAAGGTTGCCACATTATAGGTCTCACTTTAACTTTTCATAGGAGTAAGTTCTGCAACCTTAAATAGACACCCCCACACTTTTAAGAATTTATAGAAAGGTTTTCAACCTTTCCATAATTCATATGATGTCACATTTCTAAGGTTTCATCTTTGCTTCGTGGCAAATACACATAACGGTATCTTGTGCAACCAATGATAAAAGTAACGAAGTACTTTTTTCCACCTCTAGTTGGTACATGTTTAAGGTAATGTCATATACTTCATAATATCATATTACAAAATTAAATAATTCAACCAATATTGAATAATTCAATAATCTACTTATATAACATGCTTCAATTTCACATAATATTGAATGCATTAATATTTAACATATTATCATATAATAATGTATATAACATTATTTTATCATATCTCAACTATTAGTATAATATCTACTTATTTATATCTTAAATAGAAATATATAATAAAATCTACGCAAGGAAGGACTCTGTCTTAAGATTGTTGGAAAAATATATGCTTAATGTGACTTTTAAGATATAACAACTCTTATACTAATATGTCATAAGATAATTAACAATATGCTAATAAATCATTAATTAAATATGCAATTCTATATTTAATTAAATATGCAAAATAAAGCAATAAAATAATAATAATATGCAAGGAATGAACCTGGACCGAGACTAGTATTGGATACTATGTCCTTAAGACAGATTCGCCGCGCTATGATGCTAACGGACTCAGTGGCGTCTATCTCCCAAGATACAACGGTCTACATCCACCAGTAGCAGCATTACAAACTCATGGATACGGCGAACCTCCTCCGTGTAACACTCTCTCTGACTCAAAAATGCATCTATATACTATATAAATGCTGAATTGGGTGTAATCCGAACCAAATGGTTCGAACCAATCTTAATATGGCTCGATGAAATTGGATTAGGGTCGAAGTGGCTCGAACCACTTAACCTATGGTTTGAACCCTCTTGGGTTGGGTTCCAGTCTAGAGAGGGAGATAGAAGAAAATGAAAATGAATGAATTGCAAATGATCTAAAGGGGGGTATTTATAGAAACAGAAATGCCTTTTCGAATGGGGTGCGTCTTTTCATCATTGGACACAACCATTGCAATAGGTTGCAATGGTTCACATGGTGTCTATTCACCACTAGACATATCCATTCCAATAGGTTGCAATGGTTCACATGGTGTCTGTTCACCAATAGACACATCCATTCCAATAGGTTGCAATGGTTCACATGGTGTCTGTTCACCAATAGACACATCCATTCCAATAGGTTGCAATGTTCCTTTTCGAGTGGGTGCAACTATGGGTTATGATGGTTCGGAAAAAGGTGTAACCCTTTGGAAAAAACTAAAAGTGGTTTTTTAATTTAAAAGGTGTAACCTTTTAGAAAAACTAAAAAGTAGTTTTTTTAATTCAAAAAACCAACCACCCAAAAACCCCACTCATTTGTGAAACCCATTTAAATAAGCCCAGCCCAAAATTAGGCCCAATCCAAAATTCCAAAAAAAGAATAATCTGGACTTTACAATTAGGCCCAAGCCCAAACCCAAATCCTAAACTCAGCTTATTTAAATTTTAATTTGTTTCAACATTTTTTCCATGTGGGACAAACACTTCCCACATTTTGCATACCCATTTAGGCTTATCAAAACACCACACTTTAGAGCTAATTTCTCATTCATCCGGAAACGAATTTCAGAAAGTAAATATACCACAATCATCTCCTTACGGAGAGAAACGCGCTTGTCTAGAGATCCGTAAAAAATTATTAACGGAATCTATTTCAAATCTCATCCAAAGTTTATGTTTTTAATGCCCCCGTTTCTAATATAACTTTCATAGTTTCAGACACATTACACACATATATATACACATGCATAGAGAGAGAGAGAGAGAGAGAGATAAGAAAATGTTGGTTTGGAAGTGAACTTGAGTCCAAATCAGATAATTATCTAGTTTGATTTTTCTAAGAGGGAGGGTAGGAAGCGCTTCTACTTGCTTTCAATAAAACAAAACTCAAGTTAGCATGTGCCCCGATTCACTTCAAGAAGGAATACACCTTCTTCTTCTTCTTCTTCTTATTATTATTTTTTTTTCCCGAGTAAATATCAGGATAAAGTATAATGGTTTCATAATTCATCAAGTATTAATCCACACATAATATAATTAGGTAATTGAGGCATAGACATGTACAAAATGGATAAATAATTAATTTTTTCATGTATCTAGTCAAACATGACATGAAGTTATACAAAAATTGAATTAAATTTTTAAATACTGAGTATCAAACTTGTGTTTGAAACCTTAAATTAAAGAATGTGATAAGACATATTAAATAAAACACATTCAAATAATCTGAAAAGTTCCAGCAGAGTTACTGCAAATATAATATAGTAGGCAGATGTACCCATCTCTATTAAGATTGAATTGTGTTTGCCATCCCAACTGCCTTTTCGATTTGGGATTATGATAATGTAACAGAAAAAAGGTATTTCTTCCATTTATACATCTCTTTTAAGATGGTCTCTTTTAAGATGGTGTCCTGCCTTGAACCAGCATAAGTTGGTTTGAGTTGTGCCCCTTTGAGTAGTGTTGCTCGAGATTGGGTTTCCCGAGCACGTTTTCTATTTCACGGAAAAAATATTTGCTAAGGATGTCTAAATCGACGAAGACATTTTGCTACCATTTACGCGTGTTGTTTGAGAAGTCTCCCGATCAACGTTAGGGTTGAAATCAGCAACGTTCCCGTTTGCACATGAGAAGTGGTGCACGTCAGAAGTGGTAAGAGCGACGAAAAACTATTTATTCCGTTATCTGTAGTTATCCCTATTCCCGTGTTTGTGCCAGAGTCGGATCGGATCAGAATTATAATTTTCAGGAAACTCATCGGTTCCCACAGATGGCGTTAACTGTTGAAGCGAGATTCTGCACGATCCAGAATGACATTGTTTCCTGCAAAGAAAAGTAATGAACCTTGACAATACCGGTATGGTGTTTGCCAAGAACTCTCCGACATTCAAGTTAGTCATCGGAGCTCTGAAATAATAGCAAAATTTAATATATTAATTATGTCATACCTTTTAAGATTTAATAGAAGATTTAATATATTAATTATTTACCTTCTTATATGAGATGGTAACTGTCATTACATATGATAACCGTCAGAGAGATTTTTTTATGATTACAAGTAAATTTTGGGGAAAATAAATCCTTTATCCTTTTTTCTTTTCTCATTTCTCATTTGAATTGCTCGTTATTTACATTCAAACTGCCTTTTATTTTTATCCTTATCATTCCTAATTTAAAAAGGCATAGAGATGGATAGTGGACAACAATGGTCAACAAATCTCTCTTTCATAATTAATTGTTCAAATTTATGATCAACACTTTTTCGGTTGAATGATGACAATACTTAATGACGTTATGATCTCACTTTTATAAATATACATTCAACTTTCAAATTATTTATGGTCAAATAAATTTCTCTACAATTGCAATTAAACAGTCGATAAATCACAAAATTTACACAAGTGACCCAAGTCACTTCTTTTATTTTCCCCGTTGCAAATGAAATAATGACAATGTCTCTAGCTCAGATGCGACTCCACTCCGATTCAACCCGGGACGACAACACGGTGGAAACTCGCCCGCGATTTGCCATCTCCATTTCACATTCTCCAGAGTCAGCTCAGTACTGTGACTCAGTACCCCATTAATTAATCACCAACTAATAAATGAATTAGACTCACCGTTTCTTCTTTGTGCAGTCGAACTAACTCGGACGAGTCAACCCGGATCAAAATCAGAGCCTTGTTCATTTCATTAGCTTTTTCTCACCAAGTGGAGGATTTATCGGCAAACCCATTAAGGAGAGGTCGTGATTCGGGCCAGAAATCAAGGTTACTCCTGATACCCACGTGGCAGAACCTCTGGAAGTCCTCGAGATTCGTGAAGCGGGCCGAGTTTTTGGACTCGGGCCGGGTCAAGAACCGGAGGATCTCTTCGAAGAGTGACTCGTCGCAAGGGATGACCAATGGGCCTGTGTGGTTGAACCCGTACTCTTCTTCAGCCAACGCCAATAGTTTCTTGAAGACCGGGTGGTTCAGGTACGTCGCGCGCACAATGAATCTTCTACAACTGGTGCCCACGCACACTGCCACGTGGCCTGCTGGTACATCGGACGGTAATCGACGGGCAACCTTTGCTGCCTTGTTCCGCCACCGCCGCAGCATTTGGCGGAGTCTCACAATGTAGCGGATTTTGCCGCAGGCTGACATTTTCCCGAGAAAGTGATGGAAAGAGAGGAAAACAACTGTTGTGTGGTTTTGACTCTAATGTTTTAGTTGGTGCTGGTTTGTTTGTAGTATGAAGATAGTGTTTCAAGGTGAAGCTGAGGGGTTTGATTGGTGGGAGAGGAAGAGGGTTTTATAAGGGTGAGAATTGTTAAGTAGCCTTCGTTTTGAATATAATTACAAATTTGTGCTTCTTGTGGTACTGTCTTTGCAGCATTTTAAAATGGACTAAAATTTAACTTTGATATCTATATATATATATATATATATATATATATATCTGATGCAGCTAACTAAAATTTAACTTTGATATATATATATATCTGATGCAGCTAACTATGATGAAACCAATGCAAAGGTGACACACTTCTCATGTGATTTTCTTTCTTATCCTATCCTAAAAAATATATTATGGATCCTTTGTAAACAAATAGATGCAAAGTCATTCATTAATGGAACAATGAAATAAAATTTAAAGCATACATGAATATATATATATATATATATATATATATATATATATATATGCAAAGTCATACATGAATATATATATATATATATATATATTTCGGTAATTAGCATACATGAAATTTTTTATGCCTATTGCATGGTTTTCTTTATTCTTTTAAAATTTTCTCAGTTGTTAACAATGCAAAAAAATTTAATCAGTTCAACTGACTTCAGCAACCAAAATTCTTGAATTTGCTCAGTTAATAACAAAGTTAGGGTTATATTAATACATATTGTAATTTAAACTTAAAAAAAAAAAATTCTAGAAACAAGAAGATGACAAGGGTACGTAACAGATACAGTAAATAATTTCATGGGAATAGTAAAAAATAAACTATAACAGGAAGACTCAATTATCTGTCAAACTAGTCAAACAAAGGGGAACATATATCAATGGAATTTAAAAATATAAAAGATCATTTCTCTGTGAAGCCTTAATCTTCTCACAACCTTTTATTAAAATGATCTTTAAGTTATTTTTGTCATATTTGTGAGTAGCGTGATGCGAAAACTATTAGTTGATTAAGTTGTGAATTAATACTTTAATGATTTGGAGGAGGTGAATAGGTCAATTTGTTTAATTTTTATGAGTGGTTAATTACCCATAATGATTATCAACTAAACATCTATAATCAAAAAATATATAAATAATAAAGTAAAGTAAGTAAAATATAGTTTGAAGGATGACACCAAATTTTTAGCGAGAAAATCTTGATTGGTGAAAATCAAGGGAAAAACCTTGGAGACTACTTTCTCGAGCGAAATGATCTACTAGTGTCAAAGCAAAGTACAATAGACTATGCATGACGTACTCATGTTCATACCTTTTCAGTACTCTACCAAAAACCAATTGTTAAACATAATTGGCTTTGCAACTCGCCCGTTCAATAGTACTTGACTTTAGACTTACTTTCTTGATCCATGTAGAAGGATAGTTGATAGATCAAGAAGTACTCCACAAACGCCTTGATCCCTTTGCAGTGTGATCAAAACCTTCTCTTCCTTCAAATTTGAATTTTGTGAAGGCTTATAGAAAATCTGTTGTTCTAATCAATCTGTAATCTGATATACGCACTGAAGATTTCGTGTTGATCAATAGAAGAACATCACTCTAATTACTCTCGTGTTTAAGTGTGTGCTCTCAAAAATACACAATCAGAATTCTTAAAAAAACTCTCAAAAAACTTCAATGTTCATGTAAAAGATGAAAACTTAGTTTTTCCAATTGAAGCAATCAATCTCTTCTAGGGTTAGAGATAGATGTGTTATATATATACTAGAGAATTCTTACAATGAGTATAAAAGAGGTTTTAAAATCATATAAGGACATCACTAGGAGTTTGGGTACAAATAGGAAACTTCAAAGTTACCAAAATTTGATTTTTTCGCACATTCAGAAAAACGCAACCAGCTGTGTTTTGACAGAGAGCAAAATTTTCATGCAGATAGCACAACCAGTTATGTTTTAAGACACCAACTATTGTGTTTTTACTGATAACTATTTTAAGATCTGAGAAAAGTGTAACCAACTCTGTTTTAAACTCAAATGGTTGTGTTTTTGCTGATGGCTAAAAATTAACCTATATTTTGGCTCTAAAAGCTCAATGCTTGCACAACCAACCCAAAATATATAAGTTCAATGTGTCCCCACTCACATGCCTAATCCAAATAATGTTATATGGATCCAATGGTAAGAAGCACTTGCGCTCCAGCTTCGAAAGATCAAGATTTAAGATAAACAAAAATAAACTCAATCATAAAGTTTTGATTCCAAAATATGCCAACATTACAAAGTTCTATCTCACAATATTTGTTACTTATAAAGCTAATTATATAAAAAAATATGCATCTGAGTTTTTTTGTCTACATTTTGTTGGACCAAGAGGGGGGGGGGGGGGTGAATTGGTCAACACCTTCTTGCAGAAACAACTTAAAAATAGTCAAAACAGTAATCAATGAACACTGCAACGAAAATTACAAGGAAACCCTCTTAATCAGGGAAAACCTTGGTTCTTGGCCAATGCCAATTCAATCATCCACTAGTTGCAAGTAAGCTGTTACACGCTCAGCTATCTCACTCTCTGCACACACCCTTGTCACAGAAGTAGACACTAGTTTTCACACACTCTACTCACATACTAGCTAAACAAATGTATACACACACTCCCCCTGTCCTAGGCAACCCTGCCATGACCAAACAAGCTCTCTAAGCTCACCAAATACATCATAGCAAATGTAAAACAGCAAACACAAGTTCTTTCTTCAATTAAAATAAGGCTGATAACTCAGAATGCTGAATTACCACTTCATCACATTAGTTTTCAGCATTTAGATCTTGAGGGGTAAAATGGGAATTTCCTTACGAGATTCATTCAATAGTATCATACTCAGTCTTCATTCATTATGGTATTCATGTTCATGACTTTTAATCACTGAAGTATAGCATATGTTAAGCATATAGAACCAAGACATTCCTTGTTTCAGCAAAAACACAGTCTATAACTAAGGGTTGAGAACTGAAAATTGCAGCAGACCAATTTCTATCACTAAACCAACTTCAACATACAAGATTTATCAAAATACACTTGCTAGGGGATTAAAATCTTATCATATAGCAAGGCATAATCAATCAGTGCTTGAATCCAAGGATATCTTAGAAAATTAAGTAAAACAGATGAGCTCACTGTCCATTTTTTATTTCAGCATGATTTCAACAATAATTCAGTACTGAGCAAGTGTATAAAGGTGATTGATACCTGTGTCAACTCTCTGAAAAGACCTCAGCACCTTGGAACTAAAATTCAATACTCAGTTCAGCCATTGCAGCAAGAAAAACAACAGCAGCAACATCTTCTCTGCTATAACAATCACATAGCTCGAATCAGTGGGTTTTTCTGGCTTGAATCATCACCAAAAACTTCAGAAAAATTAGTTCAATCAAGGCTCTCGAGATAATTCAGGATGCAGCTCAATGTCACTTCTCACACACAAGGCTTAAACCCTAAGAATGACTATAACAACATATATATATGGAATCACAAAGTGCACAGAACTTCATACACCCACAGAATACACCTGTCACCTCAAGCTAATCATTGGTAAGGCATAATGCAGATATTTTCAAGAACAAGAACCAATAACAGAAGGCCACCTCAACAGTTTTGTCTCTATGCACACTGAAATTGACACATACACACAACACTGCAGCATACTCCATTCAGCTCCAGACTTAACCTCTAAGAAATGCAATATTCTTACATATTCACTTACTTTAGGACCACTAAAACGTGTCTCACTAATGAGCATAGTAAGAAATGACCAGAATACCCTTGCAACAGATTTTTAACTTCTTAGCTAAGAAAGATCCTGAAACTGTATCAATGACAATGTTGATTCACTCAGGTCAATCCAGTGCAATACAGCATCCAAAACATACGTGTATATGTTGAATACAACTGAGAAATGACAATGCTACCCCTGGAACCATTTGTGACAATTTACATGAACTGAATCTACACAATTCTCAGCAAATTAAGCAGGAACAGATAGATGTACTGTGATAAATATATTAAGACAGTTATGAAGGATAAGTCACTGATTAGACAATGACCACACTATCCTTGAGACTTATTTTAAGCAAATTTGACAATGAAGAAGCCCTTTGAAGCCACTGCCACACAGATTTTTGACATTAAAGAGGCAAACAATGCTTAAGGAACTTAGGACCAACAATCTCACCCTTTTGCCTTTAATGACAAAAACTTCAATTATGAAATAAGACCTCAATAAAGTAGACTTAGCCAAAGTAATACTAAGCATAGTAACAATAGCAGCAAGTAAGAGAAGGGAAAGTAATACTAAGCATAGTAACAATAGCAGCAAGTAAGAGAAGGGATAACTGAAAAACTACCCTTATTTCAGTCCATTCTCCCCCTTTTTGACATTAAAGGACAAAAGATGAGAATGACCAACAATGAGAGGCTTAGAAAGGGGGTGGAACAACCCTTAGAAGAGCTCTAAGGGTTGAAAATCATTAAGGGAGAAGAGGTTTGGTCATGATATCTGCCACTTGATTTTTAGTTGGTAAATAAGTAATGTTAATGAGGCCTTTCTGGACTTTGTCTCTAAGAAAATGATACTTGATGTCAATATATTTGCTCTTCCAGTGAAGTGTGGGATTCTTGCTTATTGCAATGGCATTTTGATTATCACAGTAAAGTTTAGAAGGACCTGAGAATTGAAGACCAAGATGTGATACCCCTCGGATCCGAGACAGGGGTTGATCAGGCCCAGGCCCAAACCCGAGGGAATATCAAACAATTAAAGTATCTTAAAATGAACATAGAATAGAAATTTAAGAATTTAAATAAAGAAACCAAAAGAAATATAAAATCCTCCAAACGATAATAATAATAATACTCGAATCTTCTAATTCCAAAATCTCCAAGAGTACAACTCAGGAATCCAACTAGTGGACCCCTAAATAAAATTCCAACTGAACTGAAAACTGGAAATAAATTAAGCTAGAATCATCGAGAGAAGTCCTACGTAAACAGATGAATGTGAGACTGTCCTCG